CCTAACAATCATAACACATGTATTGTATTTTTGAATGCATAATTAAGTTATTATGTTATATTTTATTATAACAAGCCAATTCTTATTAATGATCACAGTAATGGACATGTTATGTTTTGGGGAAAATTGAAAATGTACTAAAACTCAAGTGTGTATTTTTTTTTCTAATTGTGTGTTTAGTATCTATAATGTATGAATACTGTAAGGATATACACTGGTTCAGCACACTATCTTAGTGCTATTTAACCCCCCCAAAAATATGGTTTTGAATATTTCTTATTTCTAGAGTTTTGCCACTTGGTTGCAGGATCACTTTGTTTTGCACTGAACTTCAGTTCAGGTAATAAAGTTACTAAGATGAAATGACAGATTTAGTTTTTCATCTGGATTTTCACAGAACCTAATACTGATTAGGGCTAAGAGGGTACTACTGGTCCAGCTGCCTTCTGTGCTAAAAGAATTCCTGTTCCTAGTGTGTAACATCTTAACTATTATACCATACTAGCTATATTCTTAAATATGGATGGATGGATGAATGGATGGGAGAGTAGGAAGAAGTTTTTGCAGTCAAATTATTCAAATCTAGAAACCTTTCCCAAAAGGTTTTATCCACTACCACCTTTATTGTATTCTTCAGCACCAGGTAAAAAATCTTTTTTTTTTTCAGTATGTTTTACAACAGAATTTAGTATTTTATGGCTCTGGAAAATTTACTGACTTTATAGATGCTGTTTCTGGCTTTTATTATTTTTATTGTGTCTAGAATAGTTTTACTCCCCTTTGGAACTTTTAGTAAACACTGATTAAGCTTTATTTAAATAAATTAATCTTTCAAACTTTGCAAAATTGTTTTACCATTTTTTTTAAAATGCCAAATGGCAAGATGCTTTACTCTGAATTATAGCCAGACTTCTTTTAGTAACTTTTCATATATTATTATTAAAAACAGAACATAGTATAAGTCAAAAGAACTCTTGGAATTTTATAAGAACCTAAAGACAGAAACAATTTTGTTTCAACTCCTTCAAATCAACTCAAGAGAATTACATTTTGAGCTACAACAACTGCAAATTTATGACACACTGCAATAATTATTTCCCAGATATGAATACAAAAAATTACTGCTTTTGCCCGATTTCTGCAGTTTGTTGGTATCTTCCAGATGGATATAACGTCAGTGCTCATAATTCCCGATCAGCAGAGCCAAAACTAACTCTGATCAATGTACCACAGAAAAAAGGAGCAAATTTAGCACTTTCTACCTTGTTAGCAAGCCCCCCCCCCCAAAAATGCTCTGAGATATTTTTATAAAAATTATTGAAGACTGTAGTTTTAAAACATTACCATATCTTTTTAAAATTAAACATCTGAAGTCACCTATGTTAGCAGCTTAATGTTGTATTATTGTAAAGATACTGATACCTCATTCCAACATGGGAAAACACATGGAAGATACCTGTATGACTAAACGTTTGAAGGAAAAGCCTTAATGAAAAAGTTTGTACATCACTGTATATGATAATATGGTTACTATGTGTAAACTCAGCCAACTGTGGTTTATTTAGCAAACTGGGATTAAAAACATTGCTTTACACCAGTGGTTCTCAACCTGTGGGTCGGGACCCCATTTGGGGTCGAATGACCATTTCACGGTGGTCACCAAACCATGCTGTCCGCCATTTTTTCCCTTTTCCCTAGCTGTCCTACTCCCTCTTATTGGTGGCCACACCCACTTGGGGGTCACCACAACATGGGGAACTGTATTATGGGGTCACGGCATTAGAAAGGTTGAGAATCACTGCTTTACACAATGTGTGAACCCTGTAATTTTGTCAGCTAGCTTAGAGTATGTTCATTAAAGGTTTTTTACCAACTGCTTGATGACTATTTCTCAGAAAAAGAGAATAGTCTAGGAGGCTATTTGAATATACTGTACTCACATAATCATCAATTCTTAAGTGCAAGTACTTTCCCACAGGGAAATGAAAGTCTTTCTTTCTTTCTTTCTTTCTTTCTTTCTTTCTTTCTTTCTTTCTTTCTCTCTCTCTTTCTCTCTTTCTCTCTCTTTCTTTCTCTTCCTTCCTTTCCTTTTCTTTCTTTTCCTTCCTTCCTTCCTTTCTCCTTCCCTTCCCCGTTTTCTTTCCAAATCCCAAACTCTTATTCTTGTTCTTACAAAGTACCCAATAATGTATTGATGTACGCAAGGTTTCAAGTGCAATTTTAGAAGTGCTTTAAATGACTTCAGCTGTAAAAGCATGGTTATTGAATGTCTTTCATAAATGCAATTGATTCCATATATTTATATCTTTGAATTTTCTTCCAGCGAAATTAATATCTATTTAGAAAAAAAACACATCACTTATTTAGTCCAAGACAACTTGATAACATCTCTTTCAACTATAGTTATAAATATCATGCACAAACTTCCAAAGCAGAAGTTGTCAAGATTTAACATTAGCATTAATTTATGTCATAACTGATTGTTATTCTCCAGATAATAGCAATGTATTCAGTCCTTGCTGTCTGGAAGAAAATGAAAAGAAAGTTTGTCCTACTATTAATCATTTAATTTAATTGATCAATAATACATTTCCTTTCCTCCCCCTCATACCTCAGCCTAAAATAATCTTCTGGCATGGAAAAAGTTAGAACAATTCTCTAAGAACTACATTGTGTATTAGAGTCAAATTTAATGGTACCGCAAATTTTCAAACCCTACCCCTTAAACAATAAACAAACAATCACTGGATTCAGTTTTAAGTCAAGAAGAAAACTTTTCAAGAGAGGGCTGACACTATATAACGGCACTGGGGCCAATTTCAAATAAAATATTTCTTAGAAGCTAAAATAATGCAGGTTTTCACTGAACAAGCATGGACATCCTGCAAGATTTCAGGACTTTGGGGGGAGGAGTGTAATTTATTTATTTAATTTTGGGATTCTGTCACACCCTTAAAAATAAGTTAGCTGATGTCCTACCTCATACTATTCCTCATGCCTTTGGGAATAGAATAGTTTGAGCTATTATCCATCATGAAACTTAAAATACATTGTTTTCAAACAGGACTGAGATCTGCATCCTTCTAGCTAGAGTTTCCAAAGCTTTCACACTCAGGTAATTATTTCTAAGCCTACTTCTTCCTTTCATTAAAAAGCAATTGTTTTTTTATCTCTTTTGCACACAAACTGTCTTACACAAATGTTTCACTGTTCCTCTGTGTGACTTGATAGGAATATGCACACATTTTATGTGTCACATAAAAGATTATTAACTTCTTTTCCATAAAGTTTCTCCATAACTTATCTGCTTATTAAGGATCCTCTGATAATTTCAAAGGTAAAGCTGGAACAATCTTGAAGCCATTGCTTTAGAGCAAAGCAAACTTGTCCTTGATCGAAATCTCTTTTTCAGAACCTCTATGGAACCAGTACCACTAGGATCAGTATATTTATTATTATGCATTGTATTGTTGTTATTTTTGCAAGTGAGATATTATACATTTAATTTAACAAGCAGCCAAGAAAGAGATTCAGAATAAATGGAAGAAAAAATAAAGATGCCTTTGCTTCATCTATGAATTTACTTCCACTGCAAATATAGGATACCACTTGTAGCATAAAGCCTTTTGTTTCATGTGTAATATTTACCTGCTGCTACTTCAGTCTGTTTATTACAGCAGAGGTTAAAAGCCACATTGCATTCGCTGGAGGCTTACAACTTCCAACACATTATCTCAGTCGTTCCCCTACAGTAATTACTTGTGGTGATAGAGCTAAACACCAATCCAGAAGGAAAAAAATAATATCCATGAGCATAGCCTATAGCCACAGGTATCCAAGTTAGAAATGTTTAAATTTGGAGTGAACAACCTTCTGGTGGCCTCATTTTTCCAGCCATATTTTTGTTCAAAGCAATGGTCTATTTCCTTCAATCAGTGTGCATGCTAAAAATATTCTGCTGAGATCCATAACTGATCTCTCTGTAGTTGGGTGCATATTAAACACACCATTGTTCTAAAAAGGAAATCCAAATTTAGAAATAGCATAAGAATTATTATATTCCTAGTTATTGTTGAAAATCTTCTAAGTATAATTTCTCTATTAGAACAAAAACAATAAGCATCCTATTTGAAATTCATCCACCAACTTTCAGACCAATAGTCACGATTGTCTCATCTATTTCAGGAGGGATATTTCTAGGAGAAATCAGCCACAAATACAGAACCTTAAAATCTAAGCAATATAAATATAAAAAATCTGTTTTATAGAGACTACAGTGATCAAGCTTCCTAGTTTGAATATCATAAATCAAATAATTATGACCCACTTATTTAAAATGGTTAAGAGACATAATATTACACATTTGGTTACATTTTTAATCAGTATTTTCATGTTAAAGGTCTATAGAATTAGTACAAAAATATCCAGTCAACTGCATCAGTCCAACAATTCATTTTATATATAGGATAGCTTAGATGCCTAAATGGAGCATTCTACTTATATTGCATGACCAAATCAATCCAAAAAGGGGCAAATAGAAGAGTCTAACATATATATATATATTTATATATATATATGTAGAAACATTCTAATTAAGTGTGGGGAACTATTGTTCTTCTCCGAATTCTTAGAAAAAGTCTTGCATTACTATAGTTCACTTTGAATGCAATACTGTAAAGTATTTAATGCTTCTTGAGTTAGGCACAAAAAAAAAGAATATATCAGCAGTGTAAAATGTGGAAGATATTGGATCACCATACCATTGTGATGTATTTCTTGGCATAAATAAATATTTTTACAGCAATAATAGGATGTTTAACCTTAAGCAGGAAGCAACAATAAAGAGCAGAACAAGCTATAAATTAAGACCAATTCAGCCAGGTTTATTCTCTTTGGGAAACTGGATATATATAGCAAAGTATAGAGAATAGGCGACTATAGGCTTGGTGTCTACAGCTTTAATTCTTATATTTAAAAGAAGAAATTGTCATACAAAATACCTTTACAAGTTTCAGAAGCTGATAAAGATCTTCCACCTCATCACCCTCACATTTGGTGTAGATGTTGCCTGTGTTAACGCTGGTACCCTTAATCGTGTGACGGTAGAGAGGCAAGCCCATTGCTTCAGCATATAATTCTATAGCATGATGGCCCACTGTTTGATACATGTAACTATCCAGTTCATCGAATCCTTCTGAAAGGCAAACAAAGCATTACTACATTATCGAATGTACAGTCAAGAACACTAAAATATATATTGTACTGTGTTTAAGCACTCCCTTTATAAAACTCCCCTTATACAATACAAATCTCTTCTACCCCCAATTTCATTTCAATTACTCCCAAATGCAAAATACAGAATAATACTGAAAACATTCCAAACATCTTAAAAAGAATAAACCTATCAACTACAGCTTCCCTCCCTTTGCATGGAGATTATTTTTTTAACATGCACCAACAAAAATTCAGTCTCGTATAAGGATCAGCCTAGGATGTCATCATTCATTCGTTTCTTCCTTCCTTCCTTCTAAAACATCACTGACCTTTGAAAAAGTCATAAAAATATAAGTGCAGAAACAATCATATGATTTTTTAAAAAACTGTAATAAAAGAATCCTAGAAGTTAACAGTGTCTGCTCACTGCTGCTCTCACCCACTGAGTGGGACACTGCCACAAAGGCCAAAATCCTGTGATAAAGACCAGCAAGTTCATCACTTGTACTATAGCTAGCCATAATAAAAATCATGAAACGTTAAGAACTGCCCTTGAGATTTTATTGCCCTGTCTATTTGGTTGTGCTCTAAAAGACAGCAAATACCATTTCTATTATTGTATAAGCCTTTTCTGAATATTTCTGGCTGAAAGATATAAATGTTTTTAAGACAGAAATAATACTGAACAAACTGTTACAATAAGTCATCCTGAAGCACATCCTATATTGGGAGAAGACAACCTTGTGGTACTCCATAAATTATGGGTTGGAATGAATTTCCTTCGCACTACCACTAGTGCAAAAATTTTATTCAACCCATTTCAGACTTTTGGTAAGAGAGCAGAAGATTGAGAAATAGGGTAGGGTGAAATACCAGTAAAGTATGCTTGATCCACCAGTAAAAGCATCACAAGTTTTCAATACATGGAAGGATTCTTGTATTCTTAGTAAAATTACCATGGATCCAAGCCACTAAACCATGGGTCTTCAAACACAGGGTGGATAATAATTGTTGATTTTTTTAAAAAAATAAAAAAATCGGATTTTCTTTATTTTTATCAAATTTACTTTAATAAAATGTTTTTGGAGTAAAAAGCTAAATCTAGTTTTCTATTTAAGATACATTAATAATTTAGTTTATTCAGCATGAAATGGAGCTTAGGTATGTAGCATGAGGTTGTATATTCTGCAATATTTACATTTTTGGTAAACTCATTCAATGAATCCGGGCTCTGCAAGTTGAGATAACATTCACTGCATTGATGCATTCACACAATTTCACAGTAACCATGAGATAAATCACAAAACAAAGTTCAGAAATATTCCTTTATCCAGTTGGTTTGCAAATCTATATACACCACAAACTGTATGGTTTTTTTTGAAGAGAAATCCATCAGTACCAGTCTCTAAGTGTTTTAATTAAATAAAAGAATTTGAGTAGTTCTTCAACTATTTATGATTAGCCTATTAACCTAAAATTGGTTCTGCTATCATTCTTTTACTAACCTGTCAGCTTATTATTCTGAATAGGAAACCTTCATTTTGTTTACAAATAATAATATTAAAGATTCTAACTACCAACAAGAATGAGTCCTTACATTTAAAGAGCACCTGTCATTTCAGATCATCATGGCAGCGCCTATTAGTGGGCATCCACTCACCTGCTGCCCACCACGACCCTCACCTTGTTGTGTCACTGCGGCATCACCAGCCGTACCATTAAAGTGAATGGGGCTGTAAGTGAGTCAACAGCGGGTCAGAGGAGCTGCTGTAGGACAAAGATGACAGTTGCTCTTTAAAAATTATGATTTAAATTGAGTTGATTTAAATCTAGCCTTTTTACTAGTGATTTAAATCATGATTTAAATCATAATTTAAATCAACTTGATTTAAATCAAATCCACCCTGTTTAAACATCACAACTTTTAAGACCTGTGGACTTCAACTTCCAGAATTCCTCAGCTAACATACTGGCTGAGGAATTCTGGGAGTTGAAGACCACAAGTCTTAAAGTTGCCAAGTTTGGAAATCTTTGCACTTAAAACAAATATTAATATTTCCATTGGATTAACCAATTTTTTCGTTCCTTCCTTCTCTAGGTGTACAGCTCAGTATCTGCATACATCTTGACAAAAGATAAAATATGTTTTCTGAGTAAACATGTATAGATATACAGCTCTGATCAAAATATTATTAGAATTATAGCACATCTCAAACAGCTGGCCCAAAATAACCTAGCCAGCTTTAAGAGGACTAGAACTCAAAGTCTCCCAGTTTCTAATTCAGCAATTTAACCATTACACAAAACTGGTTCTAAATTGTATTATCAATTTGGAGGGATACACTCCAACTGATACAAAACATATACTTGTATTAAGTGTAAACAAAAAATAATCTTAAACATTGCAATATATGTTAAGTTTTCTTTTAAAAGATCACAAAAATACCTTCTAAATGAACTCCTAATTTAATATTTATGTAATTTACTGCAACTTCCAATGCAATAATAAATCAAAGTTTATGACATCTCATGTACAATAACCCTTAAAATAATCAAGTAGCTTAAATGGTAACACTGATGTTTCTGGTGAAGATTAATGTTTAAAACAAATGTAACATGAGAACTGCAATACATTATTCCAGCTTATTATCTCCTATAAACTTAGTTGGGGACCTGACTCTTACCCAGAGCAATTCTTAGCACAAAAAATTTACATTTTTACCTCAAAATTCTGTGTATACTTTCTCTCAAGCATCTATAGAATTTGGAATACTTTTCACAATATGTAATTATGAGCTACACAGACATAATCTGACTTACTATAAAAGAATTTTCTATGCTCCTATAAACCACTCTTAACAAATTCATATATTTCCCACTTTTGTTTGATAAATAAAATGATAAAATGTTGGCTCTAGATGAAGAGTTCATAGAAAATGTGGGATCTTTACCTTTATTTTCAGTAGGTCTTAAATTGGCTAAGGCAACAATCTGATGGCCAGCAGAAACACAATGCATCATATTGTAACAGCTGTCTTTTCCACCACTAGAAGAAAAAAAGTTTTGTGTTATCTGATAATTAAACAAACTTTTCAATAAGAACTCTCTTGAAGTAATGTTTATATTTACCTCAAAATGGCAGTGAAATTGTTTACACTTAAAAAATATCAGTGCTTTTCAAATAAATCATCAGTATGTTTTTAATTTTTTTTTCAGATGAGTCACTAAATATGTTTATGTATATTTTAGCTCTGTCACTTATACCTTAAATTCAAATCAATTAGGCAAGCAATATTTGAAGCAATAAGCTTTATTCTCTTTAATGTCACCAAAGGTTTCTTATCTATGTTATTAGTTTTCACATGTAAGTGGGAAATGAAAGTACTATTTGTACAAGGTAGTATGGGACAATATGTAAAAAACCAACTTCTGATTTTCTAATATGCCTATTTAGGCCAAATCAGGATGCTTTTATAATTAACTCAGTCTGTAAAACAAATTTTATATCTAGCACAGTATATGATAACAGGTTGCCAATTTAGGAAAACAAATAATTTATCACAGCAAGTAGGTAAGGTAAGTACTGAAATTCATTTCATCATCTTGACTGTATTAAAAAATGCAGCACCATTCCACTTGAATGCAAATATTAAAAACAAATGCACAGCCAGAAAAAAATACCACAACTAAAGCATCAAGCTTTAAAAGAGTTATTGTTAAACCTTCAATGTCAGTGACTTTTCACAGGCTGAAACTAGAATGCAAATTAATGTTGTGTGGGTGCAAGACTTCCATCAGAAACAATTTAGTTACCAAGGATATCAGTCAGAATGAAAAGCACTATATTCCAGAGTATTTGTGAGGCACGAATGTTTGATTCTTCATAATTGCCTCATTTTGAAAAATGCTCAGTACTTTTCAGAGTTATGACCGCCCTTTAAAAAAAATAAGCATACATAAATTTGAAAAATAAAATGGGAAAAACTACATAATTATAACTAAATTATTTTTGTCTCACAAAATTTTATAGAATACACCAAACATACATTGACTCAGGGAGTTCTGAACAGAACAGTAAATTAATCCAAATGAACAACAGACAGATAATTTGTTACATTTGAGATAGTACCTGCAGGCTTTAATACTGAGATATTCCATTACTAACTTTTATTATATACTTTCTACATATAGTTCAAACATGTTCAAAAAGTCCCCAAACCAAAAAGCATATTTGCGAAGGAGTAGGATGCAGAGAATATGAAGGCATTTGTGCAGTGGATGGATGCCATTACATCAATGGGCAGGTGTGCTTGAACAACAGTGAGTGCATGTAAGAGGCCACAGAATGGACTTCTCCTACCCACATTTTTGAAGAAAGGGCATCTTCAGCTCTCAAGATTACAAACAGAGATAAACTGGTATCTACTAATCACCATGAATCAGTCTTAGAGTAAAGCTAGGCAATAAAAAGGGAGATTTGGCACCCGTTCCTGTATGGCTTTCTTTATCAACAAAAGATTTGTCCTGATATTCTTAAGACCTTCTTGGAAAGAGTCTGTTTGGTTCATCTACATATTGAAACCCATTTGCCGGATAAATCCATAGAACTTTTTCAAAACTGGATGGATGGATGGGCCAAGGGAGGGAGCGACTTTATCAAGACAGGAATACAATCCAAGCTTTGCTCAGTTCAGAAACCCTAATTATAATAAGCTTCACTTTTTCCTAGTTTTGTTTAACATAATTCAGAACATAACTAATTGAGTAATTAAACATTACTTTCTAAAGAGAAAACTGACTTCAAGAAATAATGTTCTATGCATCTTTAAAAAAACCTATAGTCTTTCCAAAAACTTCATAGGAAGAGCCATGGTCCTTAGAAAAATTTTAATTCAACAATTAATAATTATTCATGAGCTGGATGTCCTTTATTGTGAATGATTTGTTGTTTGTATGTAATTACACGACTTAGAAGAAGTGTCATTTAGATTACAGCTCTTAACTTGACACCAGACATTGATACACCAAAGGAGAAATTCAGCAAATGTAAAGAAATCATATGAAATAAAATTGCTACTGAAAAACTTAATAGTACTAAGTTGATTGGTGTACAAATCAACTTTTCGCAAATCTCAAACCAGTTCTTGTGACAGAATATGCCCAGTAATGTACACATTATTAATTTAATAATTTGAGAAGAAAGTCACAATTACTTGGAAAGTAAATCATAATCATATTTACAAGTGGCCCTTCCATTCAGATCATAAATCTGTGCAAGTCACACACTACAGTTCTTTAAATACAAACTGATGGACCCATTCTATCAAAACTGAAGCAAGGGGAGATGGGAAATGATCAAAAAAAATCTAGTTTTAGCAAATCCTTGTGCCATAAAATTATTTATTTCAGCAGTCTGTTATAAGAGTTATTTAATCTCAAGAATAGTCTCTGAACTTATTTTTTTTCCTTTTCCTTTTTATATAATTCATCATTAAGCTGTGCTTATGATTCACTACAGCCTTTAGAGAACAGACTTCCATAGGATTTGTAGCAATTCAAAACATTTTCAAACTGTGTGCTGTGTAACTACATCTAATCTAATTATGTTTCCAAGGTGAAAAAAGTTTAAAGTAAAATTAAGAATATTTCTATCACCAAAATAATTTAGTATGTGCATTCCTAGGCCAAGTATGTGTGTTAAGACCCTCTGTTCTTTAATTGTACATTTGTATTACGTACTGAGCCACAAAATAGCCAGCCGGGTTTTAGCTTGCAATGTGATGCAAACTCATCCCAGTCAGTTAATTCAAGGTTGAATATGCCATGATGTATATTTTTAATGGATTAATTCAGTGTACTATGTTTTAATTCATTCACCATGCAAATATAACCTAAGTACTGTATATAACTTTTAAGTGCCATCCCAGATACGTATCATTCTGAAAAGTCTATTTCAACTTAGATTAATAGTGCTATTGTAGTATACCAGACAGCTATCAACAGATGGATAAACAGAGAACTGCTGTGAATACTCATAAAAAGAAAAATCTTAAGACTTCCAAAATGTCACTATGCAGGCATATACCCTGAAGTCCTAAGTCTGGAATAGGTCAAACAGTGCTCTTTAAATGTTTACTTGTAATACAACTCGTACTTTGCAATGCTTCCCGAGTTTGACGAGACTGGATATCCGTAACTTCTGAAGTGTACCTTATTTTACATTAAAAGAGAAGCAAAACCAAGCTTGTATTTCATAAAATCTCTCACACTGCTGATTGCCCGCGGAAGGGGGGGGGGAAGAATCATTTTGGGCTATTTGTCACTTGCATCACTTTGTTCACATAGTAAGATAGTCCAGCACTTCCTAGAAATCGGGAAATGCAAATATTATTCTGCTCAGGACAGCTTCCCAGAGCTAAGCAATTATTTTACCTGATTAAAGCCACCACTTTCATCCTGGATAGGTGGAGAGAAACAGCCAGAAAAAGAACAGAGGTTAAGCCAGAACCTCCAGCCACGCACACCTAAAACCTCTCCAACCCACGTGCCACTCCGGCTGACACTGTTTGAGGGTCCTTCCTTTACCGGAAAGCCCCATCTTCTGGTGTCTGTCTGTGAAAGTGCCTGAACTTTACCGTTCAGTCTGACTAAAAAACTAGCGCGACACAAGACGCCTGCTTTTTACCGAAGGCTTTTTCATCGATATCCTTGGATCACGAACATGGATGCTAAATGAAGAGTAGATTTAACAGCGGATTAATGGAGAAAAAATAGAAAAAATATAGGCAATATATTTGATAACTAAGAAGTGGCAACACGGGGGCTTTGCATTAAGGGCAAAGCTTAATGTTAGCGAATGTATTTGTCATTTGGTTAGTTCCTGGATTTTCATAGGTTTGTGCGGTAAAACTTAAGTGTGTTTTACTTCTTTTTCCGGTGTTTTAACATATGTTAATTTGCGAAAGAATTCTGTAAGTCTGCTTTTAATGCTAGACAGGATCCGGATTTAGAGGGTTGCTAAGGTAAGTTTTTATTTCCTCCGTCGTCGTTGAATCGCTAATTTGCGGATGCGGATCGAGGAACGTCGAAGGCGGAGACGATTGGAATACTACAACTGCACCTTTTCTCTTTTTATTATTTCCAAATCAGTGGGAAGTTGGACTGGAATTGTGTAAAAGGACTTGGAATTCTATGTTCCAATCCTTTATTCAGAGTAGGGCAATTCTCTGAAAACAGCAGCGTCAAATGAGTATGGAAGAAAATTCAGCAAAAGAAGAGTCAAAAATAGACTGGAGACGATTCAGAACTGCAGAGGAACACAACTCAGAATAGAATCTTCCAATGGATTCCCATTTATATGTAAGGGTGTAGGTGTGTGTGTGTGTGTGTGTGTGTGTGTAGCATGTTTATATGTGTGTTGTGTATGTGTACACTTTGAGAGCAGGCAACAGAATTTCATTTTTAATGTGTGCCAGTGTGCCCACAGTAAAAAATGAAAATAAAGGTTAGCTATCTAGCTATCCAAGAGGCAGTTGGGCAGCTCTCCAGGTACTTGCCTGGTCTATTCCCTCCTTTTCCTTCTAACCAAGTAACCCAGAGTCGAGGGTCTGCAATCTGTCCTATTCAAGGTAGCTGTGTATGGAGATTCTTGGTCATCCAGGTCATAGTTATCGCAAAGGTGCTTTTTCATGAGGCAACTGGACTTTCTTGTTCTTCTTTGAAGGCGTCTTCAAAGAAAAACAAGAAAGTCCAGTTGCCTCATGAATAAGGTGACCAACTTTTTTACAATGAAAAGGAGGACACAAATAAATAGAAGAAAAAAAATATCGTAAATAAAAGAAACATTTTATTCATTGCAACAATAATACAGGATACACTATAATATGATAAATGCATGATAAAAACATTTGTAACAACATTTTATATTGTAATTATGCTTACATGCTGTGCCCCCACCTGCAGCCACCCCACCAGCACTGCTGCCCCGCCATGTAGAGCTGGCCCCATGGCTCCCAAAGCACCAGCTGCGCCGGCTCCGGCCCCAGGGGGCAGCCTGCCATCGATACACCTCGCTTGCAGCCACCCACCAGCACCATGCCCACCCTGTGCAGCCCCATGTAGAGCAGGCCCTGCAGCTCTCACAGCATGGGGGGCAGCCGGCTACCTCCGCCCCTCACACCGCCGCCCCTGCCTCTTGCACCCGCAGCCATTATTGCCCTAGCAGGACTGAAGATCAAGAGAAAGTTACCGTGGCGTCACCACTCCAGTCTCCTCCAGGTATCTTTGGGACTAACTAGGAGATGGTGTAGTTGGGTAGCAGGGAGGGGTGCAAAGGTCCTACCAATTCACCTTTGCTGCAGACAACTTACATGTGCAAAGTTTGCCGGCTGGGTGTTTTGGCGTGCTCAGCAGCAATTCCTATTGGCTTTCAAAAGCCAATAGGGGGAGTAGCACAGCTCACGCAAAAGTTGAAAAAAAACCATCAAAAAAAGGTGCTGGAATGCCGTTCTGAGTGTTCTATGAGAAAAAAAAAAAACCCTGCAGATTAGTCTTCAAATATCGAAAAGGAGGACATGTAGGAGGACACTTTTCGAGGGAGGACAGAACTCACAAAAGGAGGACAGTTGGTCACCTTACAAGTCATGAAAAACCACCTTTAGAATATTCAGGGTAGCATTTTACCTCGAGGCACAAATGGCCAGGCTTAAATTATCCTACTTTAGACACATTATGCAAAGACCCACGTTTCTGGAGAAGGCTCGAAAGGTGGAAGGAAAGAGAAGAGACCAGCAGCAAGATTGATAGATTCTGTTATGATGGGATGAGAGTACTGTTGGAGACATGAAAAAACAGTTTAGGGACAAATCATTATGCAGACTATATACGTGGTTGTGAAGAGTCAAACAAACTTGATGGCCTGTAATCAATAAATCTACAGGAGAACACATAGTCTGAGTAGACACATGCACACAGAAAAGCAACACGTATGCACATCTGTAGCAACCAGACGTGACAGGTACAGATTCCAATGGATAATTAGGACTGCAGAAAGAACAATTCTGGCTTCTATAAAAGACCTGTATGTTGTGCAGGTCAGAAGAAGGGCTGAGAAAATATCTACAGAGACCTCACATTCTGGACATAAACTGTTTCAACTCCTCCCCTCAGGACGCCGCTATAGGGCATTGTGTGCCCAAACAGCTAGACACAGAAAGTTTCTTCCTGCATGACATCACTCTGTTGAACACCTAATTCTCACAGTACTGTCTAACATCTGTGTACATTTACTCATATTGTATGGCTGTAGCATTATTAGCCTTAACTTTTTTTAATACCCCTCTTATTAATATTGTTATGATGATGATTATTTTGTTGCTTTGTGTGTACACTGAGAGCGACTGCGCCGGAGACAAATTCCTTGCGTGTCAAGGCCAAATAAAGTATTCTATTCGGTTCTATTACTTTGAATAGATGCATGCAAGAAATGTGCGTGTACATAGCACAATTAGTTTCTGGGAAGAAATGCATATACATGCACACCATAACACATTATTTGGTTACACAGAATAAAATACAGATGCCTTTATGGCTCCTTCTGATTAAAAAATTCCAGCATACCCTCTGTGCTTTCCTTATCTTGATTTTAATAAATGAATCCTATATCAAAGCACTGAAATCTAAAAGAATACTATATGTTTGGATAAAATCTCAGTGATTTCAATAAATGGTTTTTGTTGTTGATGTTATTCTGGGGACAGTTCCCAGTAATCAATTTGGTGATATTTTCTATGTTTGAGTATACCTCTGCTCATTTGTAATGCAAGTGGCAGGGATCAAGGTGGAGAAGGCTGCCATATCTATTTACACAAACATTTTCTGATGGGATATGGATAAAGGCTTTACTGTACTTTCTAATTAGCATTGCAGTGTTAAAAATGTTAAAAGTTATATGCTACCAGGGAAGTCTGCATGAAGAGTCAAAAAGGTGAAATGGCATCTGCACAACATCCTGTTATCTTTTTTATTTGTCCTTGCCCCGTTTCCCAAAAGAAATCTATTGCAAACAATAGTAGAAAAAAATCACATCAGAAAACTCAGAATAAGGAATACTGTTTATAAATTACACTTTATAACCCAAATTGGCTTCTCCAAAAATGTATTAGAATTACTATATAAAGAACAAGGTTCTATAAAGTTGTTTTCTGATCCAAGATATTTTACAGTCAGACCAGATCCTGGCATATAGGATTCCTCCTGCAGAAACATGTTCAAATCCCACTCTGCTATTAAGCCCACACTGGTTGACAATGCAGATTATTTGGCAGTCTGTGAATAAAACATGATTTATTTTAATTTTAGCACAGTAAGCCAAAGTTTGAAACAATATTTTAATTTTGCTATAGGTACAGATGATATGCAAATGGAAATGCACAATATATTTTTAGAATATTATCTTGTAGTAGTTTTCAAATATAATTTGAATATGCCTTTAAGAATAGTGGCATTATGGCATCAGACTTCTTTCTCACTTTACACACATTCCTTAAAATTTGTTTTAAAATATTGCATATTTAGATACAGTATGTATGCTCAAAATAGAGGATAAATATTAGAACTCCATTCCCTTATATCATTTTGCTGTGTATTTATTCCAAAAGGAGGAATAACTGTGTAGGAGAATGTAGTCTTAAAATTCACAAATTACTTTGTAGAATATTTTCCAGGTAAGTAAGTATAGGATTATGTGCATTTGTTTAATTAAATCAACATATATGAATCTAACAAATAATCAGGAGAGAAACAATGTAATATATCTTGAAATATTGTTCCTTTACTTCTGAGAAAAAAATCTAGAATACTTAGGAAAAGAAAAATGGCTATTCCTTATGTTAAATGACTATTCCTTATGGTAACATCACAGACTTCACTCAAACTTTTTTCTAGAACATTCCAGAAGTGATACTCGACAAGGCATTACTTGTAACCACCTAGCTTATGGGATTAAACCAAAGCACTCAAAAGACAGTCTCCGAAGTTCATCATAGTGTCTAGACATGGGCATAAAGAGACATTCCTTTAGAACAGTATTTTTCAATCTTGCAACTACCAGTTGCATGGACTTCAACTTCCAGAATTTTGCAAGCACCAATCACTTCTGAGAGTAGAAATCCATATGTCTGGAAGCCACCAAACCATCTTGGGCTATTATTATACTACTGAAATAAGCAACATGACTAACTTTTACCACATATTACAGTGGGACCTAAGTGCAACAAACCTGTATTCAAATCATAGCACAAGAATAGAAAATTATCTTTTAGTTTCTGTCTTTTTCTCCCTATGTATGTATTTGTATATTTTTAAAAAAATAACAAATATTCAAAATTTTTCCCATAATTCTTAGGATTCCTGCCGATAAAGTAAATGATGCAAACCGAATTACTGCACTATTGCTGCTATGAAAAGTGGTACTATAGGACAGTTTTTAATTAAAGCAATTTGTCCACTGGACATATAGGTTTCAGATATAAAACTCTTAGTGAAGTCTACTGGTCTGGGAATAATCACCCA